CTACGACATTGTCACTGAAACGCTCTGCCATCCGGCCGACCGCGCGCGTGTCGGCCCAGAAATCAGCGTGGCACTTAACGTGTTAGGTTTTATAGATTGCACGTTTCTGAGTCGTCTATACTTATGTCTCATTTTAGTACCGAGGAAGGTCAGAAAGTGACTCGGAATGAAGGCGATAAATATCCTGCTATATTTAGACGAAAAGCGGACCCTAACCGGTGACTCGTGGTTTTTTGAAGAGATGTTTTGTTTTATGTTCGTTGAAGGCTCAAATGTGTTTCACTAGACATTGTTCATTTTTACTTGTTACTTTACTCTCCGAAGTTGCTGTTAAACCCTTGTTATGGCTTCTAATGCCTAATTGTTCTTCTTTTGCATAGAAAATAAAGTATTTTGATCAAATATATTTCGAATGTCATGGTTTGAGCCCTAGGTATTCCGTCACTTGAATTTTACATGGTATCACAGCGGAGTAGGTATTTTCAGCACGAATGAGCTTGAATGAGGAAGAGTACGAGACTCTGCCTACTCACAGCGTTGGGGTATGTTTGCAGAATCTAGCTGAGATTTTCTGAATGATAACTTCATGGATCAAGTTTTATTGAGAGCTCGTAATTGGCCATGCCGGGATTTGTGTGTTGTTCCAGGTTCACCTTACGGCTGGTGCTTTAGCTGGAGCGGCGGAGCATTGCCTGTTGTTTCCATTTGACAGTGTTAAGACGCGACTACAAAGTCTCTGTCCATGTCCGGAGATGAAGTGTCCCACTCCTGTTCACTCTCTTTGGAATATTGTGCGCAGGTAGGATACATTCAGTAACTTGTATGGTGTTTGTGAGCTCGTGTGACGCAGTGGTTAGGGATGCTCTGTAATCATATGATTGATTAATCGGTAGTCGATGGTTCAATCTCGCGCTCAGGGCCTTTCACGCTTTCCATCCTGTCGGGTGGGGCGATTTGGTACCAGACTTCTATTGGTGGATAGCAGCACTGACCTGATACATTGGTAGGCCATTTACTGCGAGTCATAGTGAAGGCGAGATAAGCATTCATTCACCTTGATCGATACCAGGTCAAGGTCATTTTATTCCTCATAGTATTTGTATCTATGGAGTCTTTTGTTTTCTGAGATTCGTACTTTTACATTGTGTATCTTCTTTCCCTTCCACTTAATATTGATCTTCTTTGTTTTTGCGTTTTTTTTATCTTTACTATCACTTAGTCTTGTTGTTCCAGGGAAGGCTGGTTGCGGCCGTTACGAGGTGTTAATGCTGTTGCGATTGGATCACTTCCGGCACATGCTTTATATTTTACCACATACGAGAAGACGAAAGTGAGTAATGCTTTGTGTCAACTGGCATATTTGATCGATTTGAAATGTGCTCTTCAGAAATTTCTTACGGGTAACACTACTGGTCATGCAAATACGTTTTCTTATGGTGCTGCTGGAGTTTTGGCAACATTGGTACATGACGCAGTCATGAACCCTGTTGAGGTCAGTTTGTCTATGTTTTCTAGTTAGTGAGCTTATACGAACGGCAAGTATGATAATTCTTTTCAGGTGGTTAAGCAACGAATGCAAATGCAATTTTCTCCGTATGGCTCGTCTTTGGAGTGCGTGCGTTGTATCTACCAACGTGAAGGAATAATTGCATTCTATAGGTCGTATTCTACTCAGCTTGCCATGGCCGTTCCTTTCCAGTCCATCCACTTTATGACCTACGAATTTTGGCAGCATGTATGATAGCCTTCCTTTCAACGATTTACATTATCCCAGTCTTAACTTCAATATATTCAGGTCCTCAATCCTGAGCATAAATATGACCCGCGATCTCATTTGATTGCTGGTGCATTCGCTGGAGGACTTGCAGCGGCATTGACAACACCGTTGGATTGTGTAAAAACGGTTTTGAATACTCAACAAACTCCAGCTATATGTCAAGAAGACGTGTTTTTCAAGGTATTCACTAAATAATGTTCATTTCTATCATTACATACGTTTCTGGACTTCTAAGTTTTTGAGGGTTTAGAATTTAGAACATGTTATCTTGGCGAAGTGTTATTTGATTGTTAGATCTTAAATTCAAATAGAGTAATGTTCCTCTCTGAACTTATCGAGGAACTATGAGTAAGCTAAGAATATTGATCATCCATACTGCCGAGGTTCAGTGGAGGTCAAAATTCAAGGTTTGTTTACGGTTATGTTAGCTAGCGCCAATTCGACTTCTGCAGGATGGATTGCGACCGCAGAAGCAAGTTATATCGGCTGACAATCTCCCAAAGACCATCCTATATCCCGGCGAACTACGAGTGATGCCATGTCACTTCGACATGGCTGGGATCGTGTATAAGGGGCAACGGTGATGCCATTACTTCAAGCGATGATCCACTCTGCTCGACTCATCTCGGCGCTACAGCTACGAAGACCACCATACCAAGGATGTCCACTGCTGTATGCATTCGACTCGAATTAACATAGTTCTATTAAAAGTGGAATCGTCTAAGCTTTTGCCATAAAACAAAATCTTTTCTCTGTAAGAAACTACCCGACCATGAGATTTTTGAACTATGACATCGTTTCTTTTAGACAGCAGGAAGCTATCGAAGCATCTTTGATGTTTGCAAGACTATTTACTTACAACGAGGCTTGGCCGGATTTACTTGTGGAATGCAAGCGCGGATTATATTCCAGGTACATACATCTTACTATTCAGATACTGACACGTAAATCCATATGGTCACCCACATCTGTTTGTCTCCTGATTTAATGGGCACTCTCTATAATACCCATTAACCCATGGCGCTAGTTATGCCCTATCGAGCGTCCCTGCGTGATTTCAAGGAGTAGGTTGAGCCTAGACAATTCTGGTACTAGTCTTCTCATGCCGGAGCGATATTATCCCTGCTGAGCTTGTGACAAGGTCAGACGATCAACGTGCTCTTGGTGGACGGAATCTCTAGCACTGCTCTATCCGCTGTAAATGATGTGGTAATGGTTGGAGTTCTATAAGATAGATCAGTGCGAGTTAGTTTCTATTGTTAACAAGATTTTAAGATCTTGAAAAGCTGCGTAATTTGTGAGCACACTGATGAACTCCTTTCTCTTTTGCGAATAGATGGTTTTAGTATGCTCGGCGCACTGCGGTGCGCAACTTATTTGCGTAAATCTCTTATTACTTGTCTTCTTATCATACCGAGTAGCGCGATAACACGTATTGGATAAGGTAACGATTGAAGAAAAACAGAAACACAAATGCAAGAAATCCAGAAAAAAAAACCTTTAAACGGTCAAATGTGCTGAGTCAAAGATAATGAGTTGGTAGCAGTTCGCACTTCTAATTACTATGACCAAGTCGTAAGTGGGAATTCATTCGCGTTGGTCCCTAAGTATTTCTGCCCTTTTGTACTAGAGCTTTAATCATGCAACCAATGGCAGAAGAAGATTTTTTTACAGGCTCCTGCTACAGCATTGTCATGGTCCGTGTACGAATTATTCAAGTACGTTCTTGGGTACTCTTCGAAGTCCACTTAATGCGGATTACTGCTGTATTCTGAGAGGTTTATATGATCTGCTGTTGACGTTGTCTGTGATTACAATGTAGCGTGCAAGTAGACTATATATGTCATATGCTCCTCGGTGTTCTATTGGAAATGTTTTGCCTTTTCGATATTCTCTCAGTCTCATTTTCTTTTATTTTTCTTCCAGAAATTATGTCTGTTTTCTTCCCTTCGTATGCTCAACCCTCTCAGGACCGTGGACCCACGGCCTCTGCATTTCCAACTGGCATTTTTGTACGGCCTGCTCCACCTCCTCTGCATCTCTAATTCTCAGCGTGCTATTGTTAGACGCAGCCACATGCCATTGTTGACGCAACAGGTGCCATTGTTAGACACAGCGCGCTTGGAGTTAGAGATGCTGACTAGGTAGAGCAGACCGTCCAGAGTTGACAGTCAGAGATGCAGGTACCGTGGGTCCACGGTCCCGAAAGGGTTCAAATCAATCTATAACAGTGTTTTTTGTTCTACGTATGAAGGTAGTAGAACATGTACTGATGAACCCTTGTGCAACACAAATGACACACTGAGGCAGGTACTGATTGTATAGTTAATATCTGATAGGGACATATTTTCCTATTGTTATGATCATAAAAACGAGTCCTAGAAGATGCTGCGCTACTAGTGAGTCATACTCAAATAAAGGTTTTTTGTCAGGTGCTGAATTCCTTTTCTTATACTGTTTTCTATCAGACTTTATAATCTGTATCCAACTATCTCCGTTACTAACGTGAAAACCAGTCTCAAGAGGAAGATGTGCGAATGATCAGCCTCATCGCTTTCTTTGGTTTACTATGTGAAATTTGAGACATACAATAAGCTTATATTCTCTTTTAAATCTTCTTTAAAGCATTGGCGCTTATGAAAATCGTATACTGGCCGTACATGATAGAAGAGTATTTCAGTTGGTCTCTTTCTTTCAATTCAAAACTTTCCTTTTTTCTTAGGAACTGAACAGTAGGACGATAGCCAGAGGAAAATGCAAACTTCTTTCGGTGCATGTAGTTATAGTGCTGAGATATGCTAGAGGTATATCGCTTGTGATCTCGTGGATTGCGATGATCGTATGTCAATGCAAAGTCTCCATCGGTCCCAGTTGCGTGCAAGAGTAGCCGAGTGAGTTCTCTTCGACTTAGGGACTCACCAAGCGCTAAGGTTATCTTCTAAAATCCCCACGAAGATCTCTGAGCATCGAGTCAGTAGTTCACTGTCGCGCGATACGTTTGACATTCCGTGGAATCCAGATAACCTCTTTGGCATATCGGTTATTGTTCAGACGCATGACGTCTGTGGCATCACGCCTGATTTCGATGCTTTGGGATGTAAAGCGCTGCCTGGCATTTCTGATCGTCAATGCAGGTCGCGATTTCAGATATCCTCTTTCACTTCCATGATGCGAGATCGTACGGTCTCTAAGAATTTTGAGTGGAAGTAAGAGTGCTAGCAAAACCTCGATAGCGCAGTGGTAGCACGCGTCCTTGATATGGGCGAAACATGGGTTCAACTCCCGCCTGGAGTCGAATGTTTTGCATACCACTCAAAATTCTTTGATACATGTATTCAACAAAGATTACTCATCTAACCGCTTTTTTACCGGTAGTATAATGTTTGTTTATATTAGCTTCGCATAAGTTTCTACAGTAATGCAATAAACACCAAATTATTAACAGGAGTAATTAGATTGCTTAAACACTATTCAAGGTATGCGCCATCAGCCTGAACACATTTGTGCCATCTCGCAGGCAAAAAATCAAACCGCGCTTCTAGAGCTTGTCATTCTTGGTTACAAAGCAGGTTATCAATGCTCGACGCAAATAATTGATGCCTCGATTCTTACGACTTAGGAAGTGCTCCAGTGACCGGAAAAGTGTTAGTTAGACGAAGACAAATCAGGACTTTACTGCGGATGATCCAGCAACTTCCAGCCCAGTTCGGTCTACTCCTTTTTGCCAGTTTGGCGATGTGCAGCTTTCCGTATCTTAAAGTAGCATGTGATTGCGGCGACATCGACGTGACGGGGCCGAAATGCAGCGGTCCAGGCGCTCACAGTAGCTTTTGGCGATATGCAAAACTGTGAACCCAGAGACAAGGATCTAAAAGCTATGTCAGCCTTACCGGAAACGGTTATGAGGGACCTAATGTAAAACCGATCTCATTCCCTTGAGAGGAAGTTTTCATTGGAGTGTTAGTAGCCATTCGAAAGCTGAGACATCAGCGTATAGCGCCAACGTCACCGATTTTCCAAAACATCTTTATGTAACGCTGTAAAATCTACACAAATCTAAGTCTCAATTCTCATCTTTCTCGCCGGATAGAGCTCTTTCTTTGCACTATTAGTAATCATTCGATAACGTAGTTGTTTCTGATTCCAACGCTGTGCATGTCATCAGGAAAAAACCGTTTCTCTGAAACACAGCAGGTAGAACAGGTTGGAATCGTATGTGCGACCAAGGGGGTCTTTGACCAATTCACGTGCGCTGGATAGACGGCCCACCTGCGCTGGCTCGATGATGAAAAGACCGTACGGGTCTTACGGCAAGCGCACGTGATTTGGCCAAAGGCCCGTGGTTGCACATGCGACTTTAACATATTTTGTCTGCTGCGTTTCAGAGAAACGGTCTTTTTTCGTATGTAAGCACGGCTTTGGAATCAAATTCGATTACGCTATCGAATGATTGCTAATAGTCCAACGAAAAAGCTCTGTCCGGCGAGAAATATGCGCGTGCGCGGCGCAAGAAATCTCCTTCCGGAGCAACGTCAAAATACGGCTTTCTCGAAAACCGGCAACGTGGGGTTTTAGCCTGAAGTCTCAGCTTTCGAGTGGTTACTAATACCCCTACCAAAAGTTCCTGTATAGCGGATGAGGTCGGTTTTTCATTTGTCTTCCCGTAATCGTATAACCGCCTTACCGTACTCCGAAATGCTTGGAACATTTCATCAGACTACATCGCATTTCTAAGCGAGGTCTGAAATGTAGTCGATTGGAAGGTATTGTTATATGCCTTGTTTTCAGTCCTTATCCGCATTACTATATTAATAACATGGAAAACGGACTCAATACATTCATTTTGAAATATACAAATCACATGAGACGAAAGTTCTTCTTGCAACTCATTGTCTTCAAAAACTACCTGACCACAAAAAAATTGGAGTAAGGTCTCATTGGCTTCATCTGGTGTCAATCCGCTTGCCATATTTGCCAATATTGCGATAATTCATCGTACATTTATTTACCAATTGATGTAGAGTGATGTGCAAAACTTTACCCGCACCTCACTCTTTCCGGTAATGCGTGCTCTATCTGTTTACGCTACTGACGTCAATTTTGCACATCGCTCTTTCTACGCTACAGTGCATCTATCTGTCAGCCGCCAGCTGTCAACGGCCTAGCCCGGGTAGTGGATTTCGACATTGAACCCAGTCATGCTGACCGATATTGGGTATTGAAGATCAAACAAGAATCTTTTCATTTGGCGACGCTGGAGGCTAACAGATAGATGAGCTGTAACGTAGAAAGAGCGATGTGCAAAATGGGTGTCAGTAGTGTAATGGATAGAGCACGCATTTCCGGAAAGAGTGAGGTGCGGGTTCTAGTCCCGCCTGACGCGAAAGTTTTGCACATCACTCTACATCAATGGGTATATATCTGTAACATCATACCACCGCTAGAAGTGCTTAAATAAAAAGAATCTTCTTTGATCTTCATCGTACAGTCTTGGAGATAGCCGTGATAAGGCGTTCATTTACTAACTGCAAGAGAGTGTCGAGGTGAGGAATCGAACCAGGACAGCGGTCATCACCGTGGTTCGTGATGCCCCACATTACTATCCACTGCTCACCATCGGCAGCGATATCGTATCAATTACGGTAAGAATGATGGTGTCTTCCAATACGGTCGCCACGCGATATTAGACGTCGTCGTCGTGAATCTGTAGAAGCATGTCTGGTTTTCTGTACTCGACGCTAATGCAGAGTTGTGACCCCATCAGTTTTTCAAGCCTAAGCTCAAGCGTGCCTTCGTAATTTCTAATTTGAAAAATTGATTTAAATTCTCCAAAAATCGATGGAGCCACAAATCTTCACAACGGCCCTGTATTTCCCTGCCGTAATACGAGTTGAGATACGTCGCTTGGTGATTTCTGGTGTCCACTTTCTCCTCTCCTTCGATTGTTTTTTTGGAAAAATTTTTTTTTTGGAAATCAATTTTTTTTCTCGAAACGAAGACCCAGATAAGATTTCACTTCGCTGGGTTTTATCATTGTGCGTCGCCCTTTCCTACGATATGGGGCGGCAGCTGGTGGAGCGTGTGGCGCTGACGAGGCGACCGAGAAATCACCGAGACGGACGAATGCCACTGGCGCAACAAAATCTCGAGGACGGCCGCATAAGCCTATAGATGTCCACTTCCTATTCTCGCAAGAACTCTAATTTGCCGTTCGATTCGAGTGTTCTTCTAGGATCACACTCAAAATTGAGTGCATTTAGCAATTTGTTCTTATTTAACCGCTTATAGCGGTGGTATGATGTTTCAAATATATACCCAGTGTTATAGAGTGATGTGTAAAACTTTAGCGCCAGGCGGTAGAACCCTCACCTCACTCTTTCCGAGAATGCGTGCTCTGTCCGTTACACTACTGCCGGAAAGAGTTAGGTGCGGGTTCTAGTCCCGCCTGGCGCTAAAGTTTTGCACATCACTCTATAACACCGGGTATATCTAGTAATTATTTTTGAGCCAACATGTCATGTTGGTCTTCTATGGGCAACTTATAAAGCCCAATACACGTGTTTCGCCGTTGTAAGCCTCGTCAGTTGGGCAGACCTTGCGTCTTCAGTCAATCCTCTCGGGACCCCTACATCTCGCTATGTGAGTGAGCAATGACGAACGATTTACATGTGGCGTCAAGTGAAATAAGCAATGAAACACTGCCGATCTAGTGACTTATTTCACTTGACATCACGTGTAAATTGTTTGTCGTCGCTTACGCTACATAGGGAGATGTAGGAACTCCGAGAGGAATGGCTAAGACGACCGAGGGTACTGCCCGAATGATGAGACTGTCTAGGCCGAAACCCGTATATCGGGCTCTATAAGGTGCCCATAAAAGACCACAGGACATGTTGGCTCAAAAGTATTCATCAGATATGTTCATATTTTGTTTTTCTGTGCAATGATAAGCTGCCCTAAAAGTGCAAAATATACGTATCTGACTTGCTCATTTGAGCGTTTAGGTGGATCTGATTAGGTGGTGAACAAGCGCTCGCCACGTCTTTGATGTTCGTGACCTTTTATGCAAGGAAGAATATTGTTCATAGTACCATTGATCGAGGAAATCGTTGTTTTCTTATGGTTCCTTTTGATCTGGTAGCACCAATTTTCGACATTCACGTGAAAATTTATCATAAAGAATTGATCCCAGTCAATTTAGGAACATTTCCTCGCTTACAGGTTTTTTTTTCAAGCATGTCTCATCCTTATGATACTTTTTACTCGTTGTTCTGTAGTTGGTGATTCCTGTTGGATTTCTCTCTATGTTCTAAAGATTAAAGTTTTTGAAAGCTGGTTATAGATTGATAATAGGTTGTCCAATTCAGGAAAGTTCGCGCATTTTCTGCCATATCCTCTCTTGAACAATGGGTAAGAGATTTTACTATTATTCGTGTAAACTTGATTGCAATAGAATTTTTTATAGTATATTCCGAAAGTAACACTGTACAATGTAGTGGAGGAAAATGCTTCTTGTACACAACTGGGTTTATACTCGGCGGTGCTGCTGTTGGATATTTCGTGAGTGATCTGTGAAGCGTTTAGTATTTTTTTTTTTTTTGATAAGCAGATGCGATATCTTCGAGAGTGGTGTTGATTGAATACAATACGTTTACGACCTTATCGTGGCTGCGAGGTGTTCCTGGGTGTCGGACTGCGAAGCACAGCGGTTAAATACTCCAGTATGACCATCCAAGTTGAGGAATCCGACGTTTTCCAATCGGAAAGCCCAGCGAAGACGAAGCCGTCGCAGGAATGACCTCTGTCTCAGAGGCTACTAGTCGCATGATGGCAAACTCCCTCAGCTTCACATGGACCGGTGACTGCTCTAATATGGCCATGAGCCTAGGAAGCCCCGGCTAGACTTACCTCGGAGCTCCAGGGGACAGAACAACTAAACCAGCGCATTTTCATGTATCGTGGTCTTCACAGTCCGCGAAGGCGGACCATCTAAGTATCTAAGTAATAGCATAAGAAATCATTGATGTTTCAGCAGTATTGCATCCGCGTCCGGAACTTTGGATCCGGGAATATAAAGTATTCAATAAAGGGCAGCGAATTAAATCATGTCAGACTGCAAAGATATAGAAGATGATTGACACCAGCTAAACTTTATTCTTCTAAAAAAATTACAACGTGTAAGACGATGGTCATTATTTTTGTGTCCAGTCTAACTTTTGTATCCCATCGCATACGAATTGTTTTTAAGGGGTTCTGAATAGAGTTGAGACATTGTCTGACGACGAACGACATGG